ACAAAATATTTAACATTAGTAAAACCTGATTTGGAAAGTTTAGAAAGTCTTTAAGAGCTGCCATCTTTTATTATAAGCATAATTGTTATGGTACCAAGCTTTCAAGCCTGTTAGGCAAGAGAAATTTATTTTCAGAACCGATATTGACTGTTCCTGGTTCTGTGATTAGCACAGTACAGTCAGAGCTAGAGAAGTATAACAACTCGTGTCTGTTTTTAAAAAGCTGTAGAGAAAGGCCAAAGCTAAAGATAACTACAGATGCTGAAGAATCCATTCCTGTACTTTTGATAGTTTGCTTAAGCTTAAAAACAATAAATGCACTGTGTTCTGCATGCCTAACTAAACTCTTAATATAAAAGTTTACTCTCAGTAAACATGAAAGAATTCAGAAAACGAATCTGGAATCAAGATTAATAATATTGAAATGCTTGGAATTCAATTTTTTTGCTAAGATTCCACTCCCCATCCTGGCACAGACCCCCCCCCCCCCCAAAAAAAAGACTGCTTTCTGCCTGTTTGCAAGATGAGCAGTGTTATTGGCAGCAATGGGATGCTGCAGGAGCACATGGCTGTGGGAGGGGCTGTGGGCTTCAACACCCTGAGAGAATGCTCTGTGCAAGGTGCTGCACTCCTTTTCTGACCTCAGGTGGTATTGCTAGGCTCTGTCTGTCCTTCAGCAACTAGCCTTGTTCAGAGATGGGGCTTCAGTTGAACTGTGGTTGCTTAGTGTTCTACAAATAGTTGAATTTTTTAATGGATTTTATAGACAGGAGTTTTTAGGTTTGTTTTTATGGTCTCCATAAACTTACAGAGTTGGCAATGAGGATGGATTAAATTGTCATCTCATCTTTTGCTTTTGATGAAGGAGATTTTTTCTCAGTGCTTTTTAAAGGTTGGAACCTGTTGCTTAGAATGGAGAAAGCCAAGAGCCATTCAGTCTATCTGAAAATGACTCTGTTCATTTTTGGGTTCCCAGGAGGTAAAGTATAGGGGATGATGACAAGCCACTGTTGAAGAGGGGGTGAGGACATGGTTGATTGTCAGAAGGGTAGCTTCTATTGGCTAAGCAGTGTAGGAAAGCATGTTGATTTAAAAAAATGCTAACGGAAGGGGAAAGAAAAGTTGGGGGGGCAGTGGAGTTCTGGTGGTATACTAGAGTGGCTAGTTGCAACCGTGTGAGTGAGGGGGGGAAAGCAATTTAATGTGGGATGCCTTGAGGGATATCCAGACCTGTGTCATGGAATGCTTTTTGTCCACATGTTAAGTTAAACCAGTTCACATTGAACTTGTTCAAGTGACTACTTGGTTTTCCAAGTATGTTTTTGAATTGTTCCAGGCAGCTGTAAATTTATTTAACAGGCTTGTACACCTGTCTATTTCAGGTTTAAATTGCATTTAATTTATCTGTGTTATTTGTGTCCACACCATCAATCATGCATAGTTCTTTGTTGCCTCCGTGGGGGGCTGGCAGCCTGACAGATGGACTTCTTTTTTTCTCCTTAATAGGCTGATGGATTTTGCTGTCCTTTTAGCTTTTTCTCTGTTGCCATCTGGGCCAAAAGGAAAGTGGTGATTCCCCCCCTGCCGAATCACCTCCTTTGCAAAAAGGAAATTAAGTTTGGGGTCTCATGATCTATTACATTATCAGTGATGTCAGAGTTAAACTTCTAAAGTCATTTTTATTATCTGAGCATGGTGATAATGTTGAGGACTGCTAATCAGAAAGGCAGAGAAGAAGTGTTATAGAGATGGTGCTCTTTTGCAGCAGTTATGTAATAATTATGAAGTGTGACACTTTGAAGAAATGAGACAAGCCTCAATTTTTTTTATGCTGTAGTTCTCGTGGCTGAAATGTCCCAAACAAAAGAGAACTCATGTTATTTGGTTGCTGAATTCTGGGGTCTGTATTTTGGTTCAGCTTTTAAATACGAAAAGATCTATTTCAAAGCAATTATGGGATAGCTCATTTTTGGAGGGGGGAGTTGTGCAAATGTTTGAAGTAATAAATCTTGTTTGCCAGTCACTATCTCAAAGTGATATGAGAGGCACCACAAAGATTATCTATGCAAACTATTAAGCAATACTGTGATGTCTCAGACTTGAGTAAATATTTCTTAAATTGTGATTCCCTGTGATGTAGCCAGTTGATAGTTAGGTAGTATGTTGCAGTGTACAAATTTAAATCTTCAAAGCTGCTTTAATTTTTTTCTTAGATCTTAAAAATGCCCATTTCATGTTTGTGTTGTATATTAATGGACCAAATTAGGCATAATATATATTTAATTGGAGGGTAACTATTTGCTTGAATGTGAATTTGTTCTGTAGTATCAGAGTGTTTTCTGTGCATTGTTTGCTATAAGAGCTGCCCTTGTTGGCAAAGTATAGCAGCTGTTTACCCAGCATCCAGCTGTTAAGCAAAACCTTAATTTTTGCTGGAAATCTGATATGCAAAAGATGGTAGCAGTCTCAATAGTGCTGCTGACTTTTTGGAAGTAACACACTGTGTAACTAAATAAATGGGTTACTAAAGATTTTGTGTGGGCTACTAGTTAAAACTAACCTAATTCCTATGGGTAAATGGAAAAACATTTTGTGCTGGTGGGGTTTTTTTTAAGATACTGCAGTACCTATATCAATTTAGAAGAAATTTTCATTCATTTTTTTTTTTAATTTTTGTTTTATATTTATCTGTTATTTAACTGGGAGCCAATCTAGTGGCTGTATAGTTTGAATGATGTGAACTTTCCAGGTTTCAGGAGTCAAACTTATTCCTCTGGGGCTAGCTGGCTTGTTTCCATGCTCAGCACTTTAATTTTCCTTTATTTCCATCTGTTAGAGGCTAGGGCCTTTCTGTTGGGAGTACAGCACCAATTCCATTGGGTTCACTGAAGCCCTCTAGAACTTTATCATCTAGCATCTTAGGTGATCTAAGAGCTCATCTTCTTTTTGTGGGAGATGGGGGGTAAATAGTGTGTTTTAAAAAGGGGCTGGGATCCAGGCTCTTCCAGGTGTTTTAGTGAGTTACTAGTGCACTGATTATTTCCATCAAAGGCAGACATTTCCTAAAACCTCAAAGGTTTTGACGGAGGAACTTGGTAGCTGGATCAGAGACCAACCAGTTTTGTTGTTCTAGTCATACTCATTTATTGTATTATGAATGTCCTTATTGCTGATTTCTGGGTACAGTAAATTCATTTTGAAAACTTAGCAGTTAATCAGCTTTGAACTTGCATAGATGTGGAATATCCTCAAATCCCACTGAGTAGGAATCCCCAGTGATTAGATTCCTGAAAAATTAGACCCTCAGAAAGTAAAGAGAAAGAAAGTGTATTTTCTTTCATGAATCCCTTCAGAGGAGGACAAGGAACTAGCCACAGATGAGGAATTCTGAATGCAAAACAAAGATCGCCTGACTTATTCTTGGCAACATGGATGTGGTCTTGACACTTGGTGTAAGAAAAAAACACGCTCAGTGTTCGAAATGTAGTTCAACCTAAAACAACACAACGAGGATGTACAGGGAAGAGATATTTATTTTAAGCATGGCCACACTATATAAAGTGTTCCAAGTGCTTCCTTGTTTCTCCCCACAGGAATTTTTTATAGGATGCATATACTCATCAGTGTTCAAAGAGCAAAAAGATTTACAAGATGGTTCTCTTCTGTATTTAAATACATTGATTATGTTGGCTGTTTCCAATGTTTGTGAGCTGTGTTAAATTTTAAAAATGTAACTTCAAAGGCCCTGCGACAATTTATTCTAGATCTAAAAGACACACTAGATGATGTTCCAAGTAAAATAACTAATTATGTGGGAGAATAAGCAAGCACTGGTTTGGTGTTGAGCATTTGGAATGGTAGTTAATTCCTTAATAGCAGGATAAAAGATATATGATGGACCCATTTAACATTTTGGATTTGAATCTAGGTAGGTTTTATCCAAGGCTAAGCAAGTACATAATCCGTCATCATTCTCTTGGAAAAATAAATAGCTTTTTTAAACTGTTGGACCTTGGCTGACTTTAATGGATATGTCTGAAATTCAGACAAAGGTTAACCTAGGATATGGGAGTGACCCAAGAAAGTTATTTTAGCTCTTCTTATTAGAGTGGCTTTTGCTTTCTCAAACTTTAACAGTACTTATCCTAAATAGACCATCAACTTTGTCAGTGGTCAGGTTACTAGGAATGGACCCATGAAGCTAAGAGCACATAAGGTCGCTATTCTGTACTATCAATACATGCTAAGGGAAGATGCTCTATATTTTAAATTAATCCCTTTAAAGATGTTATACAAAGAAAGTAAGATTACTTTCATTGCACTTTATTTTTCTATTTAGGATAGAGTTCAGAAGAATGGGGTAGGCCCCTTATCTGGGGCTTCAGTTCTGGAATAACAAGTCATCATATCTCCTTTCACCCTATAATTGTTCTGCATCGGGGTATGCAGCTCATGATAAGATCAGGCCCCTCATGTTGACTCTGAATTGTTCTGGCTTAGTTTGTGTTCTACCAGTGCCCCTAACTTTTGGACATATCTAGCTGAAAATCTTTAAAATAACATAGTGATGACCTATGGCCAAAATCTTTTAAATAGTCTAAAGGCTAGAAATTGCTCAGGGGCATAGAGATTTCACTAAAATTATGGATGAAAGTACCCAAGGAATTGCACACAACAAACTGTAGGGATGGGAGGAAGGGAGGAGGTTAAGAAGTCGCCCTTGAAATCAGTGAATGTGAGTACATAGATTGTTCATAATGTTAAAAATTGTGTAGCATTCCTAAGGTGTTGTCATTTATTCATAATTTTATGTAAATCTTTGGGTAGTTATGCTGTTACTAACATTATTCTCTACTTGCATTCAGTTGCGTAACAATGCTGCATCATATCTTTTAGCTTGAAGCTTATGTCTAGTTGCCTTTAAATTCAGTTTACCTTTTTTAAATTTTGTTTTTGCCGAAAATGCATTAACTTGTCCTTTGTCTATCTTTTCTAGAAATAACCTGCTTAGAAGAATGTGCTAGTATCCATCACCTACCTATACCATAGCATCAGAGCTCAAGTTTAATTCTTCCTGCATACTCTTTTCAGAACATGGGGGAAAATGATGATGAAAAATGCACCCAAGCTGGCCATATATTTGAAAATTTTGTACAGGCATCAACATGCAAAGGTACTATTCAGGCCTTCAATATTCTGACCCGTCAACTTGAACTAGATCCATTGGACAATAGAAACTTTTATATAAAACTCAAGTCAAAAATTACCAGCTGGAAGGCCAAGGCTTTGTGGAACAAGCTTGATAAAAGAGCAAGTCATAAAGAATATAAGCGAGGAAAATCTTGTATGAATACTAAGGTAAGCTGTGACATTCAGTTTCAGATTTATGGCTTTGAATGATTTTTACTTGTTATTTTTTCACTAAACTAAACAGAGCTGCACTGTCTTCTGAGCCTCAGTGGTAGCGGTGGTATTGGAATTATTATGCAGCATTGGTTCTTTTAGTTTCTAGGTACTGAAATACTGAAAAGGTAAATCCTTAATTATTTAATGATTTAAATGCTGTCCTATCCTTTTTTTTTTTTTTTTTTTTACAAGCAATTGGAAGCTGCCAGATGGGTGCTATGTGTTTATAAGTAGAAAGAGAAATGGTAACTGTTACTGTGAACAGGGTAAGAGGTGACTACTCTAGTA